CAACCTTTTCTTTGGCCACCTCATTACAAACCTTTCCCCTTTTGTAAATAATTCCCTCTTTTGAACCCATCCCTCCTTGAACATTGAGAATGAGGCAAAAATAATCCTAAGTTGGGGGTGTGGTATCAATGTGGAAATTGGTAAGGTTGTACATTGAGTGTAGCAACATATACCTCAAAGTGTTCATATGAAACTATTCAAGCTCCAAAAGAAAAATAAATAAAAAATATACAAGAGAAAAGAAGAAAAAGAAAAGAAAAAGAAATATATGTATGTATATAAATATGGAGCATTGAAGAAAATTAGAGAGATATTTAAGGAGATTCTATATTGGTAACTAGATGCTAATGAGGCTATGTGGTTTGAAAAGAAACAAAGTGCAAAAAGAATAACAAATGTGAGTAGTGTTCAAGGAAGGTGTAGCCACTTGTATCCAAATGCTTATCCGACCCTTCCCTAAACCTATATTACAAGCTTAAAATGTCCCCATGGGACCTCCAACCGAATGTTCTTGAATAGGCGATGAAATAAGGGCAAGCTTATGGTATGATATGTTGTAACATTTGAAATTTTTTGTGAGAGTGAGTGTCTTTGTAAATTTGTCCCTAATGTTGTATTGTAAATATAGTGATTTTGGGACTTTCTTTCTTGTGAGGTCACATGAATTAGATAGGATTGGTGAAATTGAGCATATGTAGTGGACTAGTGCTTTTGAGTCACTTCTTGAGGCTTATTCTTGTCACTTGATTATTTTGAAATTCCGTTGCACATTTTAAAAGTTTTTTTTAAATGAGGGAGTCATTCGGAAAAGATGCACATACTTGAGCCTAATTATTAGTACCAACCAAATCTATAAGTATGGTTCTTAATTGGAGAATGTGATTTGTAAATAATAGCAATACCACTTGTGTTTTGAATGGTAAATCCTCATTGAAGTGTTGGTATTGATTTGCTTGAGGACAAGCAAAAGCTTTAAGTTGGGGGGTGCTGATGAGTGGTGATTTTAACACTCATTCTAGCCTCTTATCTTTAGCTTTTATGTCCTTTAACTATAATATGAGGTCGTTTATGGTGTGTATTGTTAGACTTTCAGGTAAATGATGCCATAAAGTGATTTGAATTTAATTGGAGTGGAATTGAGCAAAAAAGGGTGAAAACCATGCAAAAACTCCCATGTGATTCCGCATCTACGGAAGGATGGTCGCAGGAGCGATCCCGCTTCTGCGTGAAAAGGCCCGCTTCTGCGAAGTTGTCTGAGCTTGCAAGAAACCGCATCTGCGGTTAGATTACCGCTTCTGCAGTTGCGAATCTGCGCCTGGTGAACCGCATCTGCGGTGACAGAATTTTTGTTGGCACTTTGCTTCTGCAATAGGATCTCCGCATCTGCGAACCGCGCCTGCGAGGATTCTTCCGCGGGTGCGGTCAACGGGCATCAGACCTGAGCAATTTAGGCATTTCACATGTTTTCAACCCCAAACAACTTTTATACTCATCCTAGCAGATATTTTGGGATATCTTTGGCTTATTTTCTGTTCCACACACTAGAGAGAACAAGTTTTGGAAGCTAGGGTTTGCGCACACACATGGATCTTGAAGATACGAAGCTTTTGATTGAGAATTTCTTACTCATTTATGCTTATTTCTTCATTTCCTTGCTTTGGATTGTACGTTTAAGTGTGTAGTATTTATTTCCAACACTTGAATCTTGTTTATGGAAATATTTATAATTAAAGCGTGGATTAAATACCTTGTTGTGCTTATGTATTGAATGATTTTCATTTATTTATGAAGTGAGTTGTTGTTTCTTTAATTATTCTTATTCTTTAATGTTTCCAAAGGGATTAGCTAACACTAGGACTCGCCCATTTACTCCGAATTAATTTTGGAAAAGATAATTTGGGTTGGGAAAGATTAATTAACAAGAACTTGAGGCGTTAACCCTCATTTTATAGATTCTACCTAGGGATAGGGTTGAACTACTTGTAGCCATATCCGGGGATGCTTAATCTCTTAATTGTTTTAGGGATAATTCAATTAGAAAGTCTTGTTAGTCTTTGGAAGAAGCTAATATAGAATTATTACCCGTGGCTAATTAACATAAACTCGCTCATAATTGTAAAATCATGAAATACATTGGATCGTTACTTGAGTGTAATTCCCGATGCAACCATACTTGTAGCCATTTATCATTTTACTTGCTTTCTAGGTTATTTTACATTTCCGCATTTAGGTAGAAATATTTTCTAAAACCAATTCTAAGTGTTTGGCATTGCATAACAAGTGATAATTCTCTTACATTCCTAATCGCCTATACATTGTTCTCTGTGGGATTCGACCCCGAATCATAGTTGGGTAAATTATATTGCATGCGACCGTGTCCATTTACTTTTTATAGTGGATTTGGACGTCATCAGTGATCACTTCTTGCTCGCGTATTTGGGCGAAAGCTTCAAATGCAGGCGTCCAGGTACAACGTCATCAATAATGACTTGTACAAAAGAACGTATGGCATCTCCCTAGCAAAATGCTTAGGCCCAAATCAGATGCGGTGCATCCTCGATGAAGTACACGAAGGTCACTGCGGAGCTCATACCGGCAATCAAGCTCTCATCAGATGCCTCATACTAGCAGGCTACTACTGGCCCATGATGAAAAAAGAGGCCGACGACTTTGTAAAAAAATGCGAGCAATGCCAAAAGTACGCTCCCATAATCCACCAAGCGGGCGAGCACCTCCAGTCAGTCACCTTGCCCTGTCCATTCATCAAATGTGGAATGGACATTGTCAGACCCCTCCCAGCGGGACGAGGTAATATACGATTTCTTTTAGTTTTAACTAACTATTTTTCCAAGTAGGTAGAAGCAGATGCTTGGCTTATTTTTTATCGTCTAGGAGTACCCCGTCTTGCAAATATGAGACAATACGATTACGCCAGTCCCAAGTCAAGTTTATAACCCGTACCTCAATTTCATCAATCGATGAATGGATGAGAGTGACCATGTTCCCTTCTCTGGTTATTTTTTTAGTGGTCGCTGCTAGTTTGGCGAGACCGTCCGCTTCGATGTTCTGCGCTCGAGGTATTTGATCGATCTGGCGTTCGTCGAACTCGGGTAATAGTTTTCAGATTTCAGCCTGGTATTTCTGTAGCCGTTGTTCCTTCACTTGGAAAGTCCATGTGACTTGATTGACGATGAGTTGCGAGTCGTACCGTAAGACTACTCCTTGCTCCGTACTTGAGTGCCAATTTTAATCCTGTATTCATGGTCTCACACTTGGCCTCATTGTTAGTCATATCCGGGCGCCGTATGGACTAGTGAATCATTTCTCTTGTTGGGACCTCGAGCACGAGCCCCAGTCTAGATCCTGATGTGTTAGAAGCGCCATCGGTGTACAGCACCCACTGGTCGTGCATTTTGGTGGAAGCACTAGCGACTTCCCTTTCAACTTCGGGCATTATCTTTGCACTGAAGTTGGCGATGAACTCGGCAAGTACTTGCAACTTTATCTTCATTTGCGGCTGATAGGCTATATCGTGCTCGCTCAGCTCTATGGCCCATTTAGCCAATCTACCCGATAATTCAGGTTTGTGCAGGATACTCCTTAGCGGAAAGGTCGTGACCACTGAGATGGGGTGGCACTGGAAATAGTGTCTAAGCTTTCGTGAAGCTATGACCAAGACTAGGGCAAGCTTCTCGGGGTGGGGGTACCTCGTTTCGGCATCGACCAAAGCTTTGCTAATATAGTAGATGGGAGACAGCATACCTTTATTTTCTCTTACTAGGACTGCACTTACTACAACATTGGAGACGACTAGGTAGATGAGGAGACGTTCTCCAGGTTCCGTTTAAGCGAGCAGCGGGGGCGAAGACAGGTATGCCTTTAGTTCTTTTAAGGCATCAATGCACTCGGAATTCCATTGGAGTCCGTTATCTTTTTATAGAATGTCAAAAAATTTATGGCACCTATTAGAGGACCGTGAGATGAATCTTGACAGGGCGGCTATACGGCCGGTCAACTTTTGCACCTGTTTCTTACCAGTCAAGTTTTCTGGTATTCCTTCTAATGCCTTGAGTTTGTCGGGGTTGACCTCAATGCCTCGTTTCGATACTAAGAAGGCGAGGAACTTTCCCTGAGGTTACTCCGAAAGCACATTTCTCGTGGTTCAATTTCATGTCGTACCTTCTGAGTATGGCGAAGGCTTCCCTCAAGTGGTCGATGTGGTCTTCCTTCATTTTTGACTTGACCAACATGTCATCTATATATACTTCCATGGTTTTGTCGAGCTAATCTCTGAACATTTTGGTCACCAGCCTTTGATATGTCGCCCCTGCATTTTTCAGCCCCAACGGCATAACCTTGTAGTAGTATGTCCCCTGGTGGGTGATGAAAGTGGTTTTTTCATGGTCCTCCTCCTACATGAGGATCTAGTTTTGGCCCGAGTAGGCATCCAAGAAGCTTAGCAGCTCGTGCACGGCTGTTGCGTCGATGAGTTGGTCAATACGGGGCAGTGGGAACGAGTCTTTTAGGCAAGCTTTGTTCGGATCTGTGAAGTCTACACACATCCGCCATTTTCCGTTCTACTTTTTTACCATGACCACGTTGGCAACCATTAGGGATACTTTGACTTTCTGATGGAGCCATTCTCAAGCAACTTTTTCACTTCATCATGGATAGCATCATTTATCGCAGCATTGAAATTTCTTCTAACTTGCTGCACTGGGGGTGGAATAGGTCGACATTTAGTATGTGTGTCGCTACCTCCTTTGGGATGCCCGGCATGTCTGCATGGGAAAAACAAACAATTCTACGTTAATTTTCAAGAATTGGCGTAATTTACCTGGTTCTTGGAGCTTATGGTCGATGAAAGCTTTCTTGTTGTTGTCGTTATCATTGAGTAGGACGGGGTAGAGGTCTTCTACGATATATCCTGTAGCTTCTACGACTTTGGAATCTTTGATTACATCCTTCTCGTCCTCGCTTGACCTCGACCCTGTTGATTGCTAAGCTTCTTTGGCTTTCCCCTTTAACTGATGGGTATGCAAGCAGTCCCAGGCGATACGGTAGCATTCCCGAGCGCTGCGTTGTTCTCCTCGGATGCTGAATATTCCCCAAGAGGTGGGAAATTTGATGACTTGGTATAAACTGGAGGGGACGGCTTTCATGGCATGGATCCAAGGTCGACCTATGATGGTGTTGTACGCCGTATCCTGGTCCATGAGGTAGAAAGTGGTTTCCAAAATGACTCCACCAGCTAGGACGGGTAGCGTGATCTCTCCAGATGTCCGCTCAACTGCATTGTTAAAACCCGTTAGTGTAATATTGCGTGGCACTATCCTATCTTCATGTTTTATTTGGGTAAGAACTCTAGGGTGGATGATGCACGTGCCTCTCCCATCATCGATCATAATACATTTTACATCAGTATCTAAGATGCGTAAAGTAATGACAAGGGCATCATAGTGAGGAAAAACGAAACCGTGGGTATCCGACTTACCAAAGACGATACTTTCTTTGAGTTCATCATACCGTTCATGAGTGATCGATCGTTTAAGCTTATGGGTGGTGGTGAACTTCATGCTGTTGATTGACGCGTCGTCGCCCCTCTGATGATCATATGAATGGTTCGAGCCGGGGAGGGTGGTTTCGGCGGTCCTTGGTGCAGTTCACGTCCATAGGCAAAGTTGGCCCTCCCTCGGTCGCTCATCAGCTCTTTCAAGAGCCCTTGGTGAAACATGTTCATGACCTCTTGTCTTAAGGCGATACAATCCTCGATTTTGTGACCTCGCTCCTGGTGGAACTCGTAGAGGGCATTTGACTTTCTAGTGCTCGGGTCAGATCTCATCTTCCGCAGCCACTTTACTTTTGGGCCGAGCTTCTCCAGTGCGTAAATTATTTCTGAGAGGGAAACACAGAAAGTGTGAGCAGATAATAAGGGGGTCATACCTCTCTCATTTCAGTGAGTTCCTGTTCATGTCCTAGAAGAGCCTTGTCGTGTCAGGGAGGCTGTATGGGGGTGCCCGGCTGTAAGGTTAATGTCTTTCCTGGTTAACTTGAAGTCCTGCTAGATCTCTCTTGGGTCCTTCCTGGATTCGGCTTGTACCGAAGTTAACCGTTGAGTCGGCCCGTTTAGTTCATCTTCATCAGCTCAAACCTCGGTGCAATAAGCATTATATATCTCGTCCCATGTGGTCGGAGGATATTTTATGAGGCGGCTCAGTAGCTTCCTGGTCGCCCTCAAACTGCTTCTGTTTAGCCCGTTCTGAAAGGCTGCCACGACCATTTCTCCCGATACGTTTGGTAGGGTCATCCTTACTCAGTTAAATCGAGCAAGGAAGTCCCTAAGTCCCTCTAAGGGAGATTATTTTATGGCAAATATGTCATTCACTCTCGTATCCGCCTTTTTTGCTCTGGCATGGGCTGTTACAAAATTATCTGCCATTTCCTCGAATGTTTCAATCGAGCGTGCAGGCAGCTGTGAATACCAAGTCACTGCACCCTCGATGAGGGTTTCACCGAACTTCTTCAGTAAGATGGAGGATACTTGCTCTCTAGCGAGATCGTTTCCTTTCACTGCGGTGATGTAATGAGTCACATGATCTTCAGGGTCCGTTGTGTCATCGTATATTTCAGGTACGGCGACATTTTGAAGGTTTTAGGTATTGCGTGTGGCGCAACTCGTCATTGTATGGCTGCTCGATGAACCGACCGGCGTCCCTCTTTGGTAGGAGTTTTTGGGCGCCCGGTATTTTGTCTACTCTTGCTTGATGTTCTTTCATTTGGTCACAGAGCATTTTGTTCTCGTTCTCCATCTCCTCCATTTTCCTCAGAATGGCTGCGAGGGTGTCGTTACCTACATCACTAACACTATGAGTAATACCTGTTATGAGGGGGCGTGCTGCTCGTTTGGCATTGATGCAACGCGTACGTCTGCATCTTCTTTGTTCGTCCTTTGAGTGGGCTTGTCGAGAATGCTGGTCAGCGTGTTTGCCAACCATACCTCGAGAAGTTTATTCACTGCCGGTGGTGCCTCTTCCATTGTGGACGTAGAGGCCTCCTTACCGTGTGAGGTCGTGATGCTACCATGCGGAGGGTTAAGCTGTTTCACCGAGGAGATGCATTTGGTGTTACATCTTTGCTCTCCGTTTCATCGATTTCGTTAATAGTGTGAAGGAGATTAGCAGTGAAGTCAGCTATTGCTTTTCTCCTTTCCTCTTCTTTACCTGCCATGTTAGCTTTGTGTGAACAAGGAAACGTTGTGTGTTCTATGTTATGGATCTAGAGAAAACTAAAATTTTAACTAGAAAATCTCCACAGACGGTGCTAAGTTGTTTGACCAAAAAGTATAACACCTATTTGTTAAACCAATTAATAATAAGATGGGTAAATTCTAGTTAAGCATAATTAACTCTAGATCTAAGATAGATAACGTGAATGGAAGGTAGTTGAACCTAAATGTTGGTAGTGATTATGCTCGATTTTACTAACATGTAGAAAAAAACATGCATTAAATAACATTAAATGGCAATAAATGTAAATAGAGGGGAAGATTCACCCAATATTGAAGAGAGTGAAGGATTCTTTCCTCTGACAATGATGAATGACACGAGTGTTAGAGAATATTGCGCACTTTCTTGGATCTGATGGAGATGACAATAGAATAGTTCACAAAAAGATGGAATATAAGCAAAAAGTGCTCCTTTGTATTTTCTGAGTGCTTATCCTTTATTTAAAAAAAAATTCCCCATCTCTCTATCCCTCTCTGTGGGATACTCCCAGAAAAAAACCCTAAAAGTACAATAAAGGGTAAAATCAAGGGAATATTTCTTTTGAAAGTCCCGAGGCCATACTAGCCATTATTTCCGTTACCTCTACTCGACTTAGGCCCAGAAGAGCCACACAACAGCTCATTCTTATTAACCATTGTTCGACCTCGACAAGACCACCTATAATGAGTTACCGTCGTCATGATAGTCACTTCTTCATATCAAATTTCCTCAGTCGAATTTTAGCCCATACACTATTAACGTCCACACGAAATAAAACCTTTTTAGAAAACAAGACTAGGGCGAAAAGACAAAGCACAAAAGGTCAAAGACTAAAACAATAGGGACCAACCCATATTCGGAAAGCGAGCACTTAAAGGAAGGGAAGCGAGTGGGGCTCTATTGTCATAGCCTCATAGGTTATACTAGCAAGGTATGCCAGTGCAATGCTAGGGCCCACATGATTAAGAGGGTTGTGAGCAGTTAAATATATGTTCAATAATTCAACATATGTTCTAAGATTAAAGCAAGCAAGCTCCATCTATTTAAACTATCTTTTATTTGAATTCTTAAATAATGTGATGATAATTTTTAAGGATGGAAATAGTTGAACTTTCTCGCAGTACCAACAAATATAATTTCAAAGCCTGACTTCAAACAACCAAAGAGAATACTGCTACTATTACACCTCTCGCCAATGGGAAGTAATGAGGCTAGTCTCCCCCCCCCCCCCCTGAATGAAGTAGTGAGGGTCCCTTCCCGCGTATGCGCCTTTATTTATAATCTTTATATTTTTGAATTACCAATGGAGAATCTTTCTAAAAAAATCTCAGCATGATTCTGAGACTTCCTCTGGAATCCCGGTGCGGACATGAAGTTCACTTGGGCCGGCTCTGCAGCAGGCACCTCGCCCTGCTTCTCAATAATAGGATCCTCCACTGGATCCACTGGTGGCACAACTAGAGTAGCTCTTGGACGCCCTCGTCTTCTATCACGAGCTGTAGCCCTCCCTCGCCCTCTAGCAATAGGGGGAGCAGCTCCTCCACAACCGAGTACATCTGCCGCGCGCGTTCTCACCATCTGTGAGAGAATGAGAGAAAGATACTTAGCACAACATCAATTGCACGATAGGAGATGAAAAAGAGAAGTTTCTTAACACCCTATAGCCTCTCGAAGATAAGTACGAACGTCTGCGCACCGATCCGCAAGACTCTATTAAGCATGCTCATAACTTGTGAGACCTACGTGAACCTAGTGCTCCGATTCCATGTTGTCACGACCCAACTTCTCCTATGGGTCGTGATGGCGCCTAACGTCGCCGCTAGGAAAGCCAACGCATGAATTAGCCATGTATCCATTCTTTTTAATAATTTTATGTAGTTGATTTTTGTTTTTATCGAGTAAATGAGAAGTGGAAAATTTAATAAAGTAAAGCGAAAACTAATTGAAGTGTTAATACAGTGAAATAAATGCTCAAAAGTCATAAAGTGCCAACTAGCATGATTCTATGACCTGGTGTCACAAATGTATGAGCAACTAGTAGAATATACAAAACACTATGCTACTGTCTGAAATAGGACAGACAGAAAGTAAATACAAAAGAGAGACTGCGGGTGCTGCAGAACAGCCTCAGAGAGCAACTCACCACTAAGCCTCACGGTAACGGGGGTGCGCATGAAACCATGCAAAGAAGACCAGTACCAATAAAATAAGTCCAAGTTTATTGTAAAATTCAGAAAACTTTTTGTACAATTTGTTGGTGTCGTGTTCGTCCATCTTAGCTGCTTATATATTATAGAAACTACCACGGACCAGAGTCGGCAAATGAGAGCGGCGAAATAAAGATGAAATTTTTTTTTTTATTTCTCACCTGTACCCACATTGGGGCCTGACCAATCCGGATTCACGTCGGGAAGTCCCACGTTTGGGGATAAAGCGCTCCTAACAAAGACGACTCCATACCCAGGGGCTCGAACTCGAGACTAGATGAACTTCAATCAATACTCAAAATGGACAACCATGATCTAACCCGTTTAAAATTTGTTTGGCCAAAGTAAGTTCATCAAAATGAGGTCAAATAATAATATGGTCCTAAAAATTTCATTAGTCCCTCCTTTTTTTAAACTAGTTTCTGAACACATGCATTGTACATGCGTCTCATGCCAATTAGTGCGGCAGTAAATTTATAAAGAAAAATTCCAAACTCCTACGGTGTGTTTGGTATGAAGGAAAATATTTTTCATGGAAAATGAGTGATTTTATCACTTATTATACCTTGTTTGGTTGGTGAATGGAAAACTTTTTTCGGAAAACATTTTCTAGTGTTTGGTTAGAGGGCAGAAAATATTTTTTTAAGAAAATATTTTTTTTATGCTACTCTCCTCACCCCCTTCCCCTAAGTCCTCATGCTTCCTTGCTCGCTCCCCCCCCCCTCCCCCCCTCACCCAAATACTCAACGTTTTTAGGATTCTATTTTCTTCAAAAAATTTAATTATTCTTCTAAAAATCCACACAAACTCAAAGGAACTAATGTGTTCCTTTACCTTTTTACGCAAAAATAACGTTACAATTTGTGCTCCATAACTAAAAAGAAAATACTCTTTTTTTGGTTGAAAAAAAAAGTACTTTTTCTACAACATGAAAATAAAGTACTCATTTTACTGAAATAAAAGGAAATACCTTTTCTACATCATGAAAAGAAAATAATCATTTTTGTTGAAATAAAAAAAATACTTTTTTTTAATCATCAAAAAAGAATGTTGTTTTTGTTAATATGAAAAGAAAATACTTTTTCTATGAAAAGAAAGTACGCC